TACACTACAGTCATAAATGGGACATTAAAACTTTTTTTAAAAGCCCCTTTCTCCCTAAAGGTCCGCATTCTTGTGTTTACATATGAAGATCATTTGCACCTTTACAAGGAAAACAAGTATTCTGTAAACAAATGTTTACATGTATCATTTATGCTTTTTTCTAGCATGAGTAACTTGTATAAATAGTGCTATCTTAATAAATTTCTTCTACGCTGTTCTTGGTTTGTTCCTTGGGGTGAAAGCAGTGTTTTTTTTTTTGTTTGTTTTTTTTTTTCCTGTGGTTTATGTGGACAAAGATGATGGAGGGTTTTCTTCCCCAGCTAAATCCCAGTAAAAGAGGCTTAAAACTCTGCTGTTTCTTGTTACCCTTCACATCCCTCAGAACCAGCTTTTTCTGAAAGGAAGTATCTGTGTTATCTGGCTAAATCTTATCTCCGCTCACTTAACTGCATTTAACAATCAGGACAACACAAGGAAGAGGTTAAAACAGGCTATAAGAATTTAGGATTTTAGAGATTATTTATGCAAATTTGTTGGAAAGAGCTGAGCATTTAAAACTTAGCCCTGAGTGTAACAGTCCTATTTTCAAACCAAATACAGGTACCAGTTATTTCCAGACCTTGTGCTCCTTTGTCCAGTGCTCTTGTGACTCCAGATAGCAAACTTTGTCTGAGATATTTCAAATAAGGAAACTAAAGCACCAGAAGTGCTAGTTTAATTAGCCTCCTGAGCTGTCAAGACCTTCAGAAGATCACTTAGCTGCTTTTACTAGAGTAAGAAAGAATTACTACAGACTTCAACCTCAACATGCAAAAACAATCCATCTTCAAGTAGTAAAGAATGTGAAACCAAGTGCATGTTTCTTTGTTTAATTCTGGAAACAAGAAAACTGCCTAACACGTGACATGCAGTTACATCATGTGTTAGGCAGTTTTACACTGGGAAAAGAAAGGAAATTTGCACCCCTATTTTGGAGAAGGTCATAGCACAAATCAGCTCCCAGAGGTGCTGCACAAGTGTGAAGCAAGAAACTAGACTTGGAATTTTGCTGTTCACAGATGCATTTAATAAGTAACAAGTGGTGTTCTGGTCTGGTACACTGTAGTTAGAAAGAAGCTCCATGCAATGATATATTTAATTAGGCACTGGTGGTCTTTCCTTAAGACAAAAGATGGAAAATATTTTCTTTATTTAGTACTGTATTACAAAAACATCTTAGCCGGTGTTACCTTCTGCTCCTTAAATGTCCCTCTGAACTCTGACCTGCTCCAGAAGGGAGGGATCCATCATCAAATTATAGCACACAGCTCCAGCCCTGAGAGCTCTCCGGCCTAGAGGATTACATCCAAGATTACCAACATAAGGACAAAACCTAGTAACTATCAAGCTTATCCACACCTCACTTTCCTATTATCAATTTCCCTGCGAGGACCAAAAGGCTGACAAGAGCCTCATGTCCAATCTCATGGCCAACTGGGACATAAATGAACAATACCACCATTACCAAGTACCCTTAACAAGCTAAAAAGGGAGTTTTTCTGCCCTGGATTATAGAGCATGCACCCCTTCTCAGGTGTGCTGAACTTTGCATTTAGGCTAGCCCAAGTGTAGTCATAGTTTAGCCAAGGTCTGCATAAGCTTAAGGTGTCCAGTGAAAACCAGCTTTGAAACAACAGAAACACGTGCCAGTATGTTGCATCAAGAACTTGCACTGTTTGTCTCTGAGCTGATACCTGCACATAAATGAAATGAGTGACTCTCAGAAAACAAAGCTGCTCAGGAAGCTGTCACAAGTTTGCATTGCAGCCCTTCTTCAGGGCTCACAAATGTCTGCTTGACTTTGCTGTGCAAGGAATTACACTGTCAAGTGCTGGAGTTACAGTCTGACTTTGGACAGCCAGAATGAGAGGAAAGAAGATGCTGCAGGAGTGAGATTCCTGGTCGTTTCTCAGCACAGATTGTCCAAACAAAAAGCCTTTTTAGTATGAAGTGCTACTGAAATGGCTTTCACTGTATCTGAGAGATTGCAAGTTCAGTCAGTAGCATCAGCACTCCAGGCAGGTATTGGCTGTGTAGAATCTGCAAGAAAGAGAAAAAAGCCTGTCAAAGCAAAAATTGTAGTTGCCAGATTTCCACACCCTGAAGCCCTAGTTGGAAGGAAACTACCAAGTGTTCTGTGTGTTTATTCAGCTGCTCAATTGTTGCTTTACTTTTCCCATATTGCATATGACTTGAATTATACCCCATTATGAAAAGCCATAACTGAATTTACACCACACATTCCACAAGAGCACCCTTCAGAAAGCCTGAGATATCTTTGTGTACTTACCTGCAACAGAAAAAGTTGTTTCACACTGTTTTAAGCTATTACAGATAAAAACAAGCAATGTGTTCATCATCATAGGGTAAATTTGAACAACTGCACTTACACAAACTGTTCTTTAACTCATAAGAAAATATTATACTGCTTGAAGGATTAATATTGTGTGGTTTGAAGGATATTAGAGATACCTCTGTAGAAAGACCAGCACCTTTATGAAAAGGGTTACACATGAAGGAGTCTTTTACCTGTGTCTTAACAACTGCAATACTAGAAAGCTAGGAACTTTCTTTAAAGTTTGGGATCTTTTTAAGTACAAAATTAGTTTTTTTTATGGCCTAAGAAACTTTCTTGTTCATATCACAGCTAATACACCTATTTCTCATCCCAGGCAAGTAGCTTCTGCTGCAACACAGTAATAAAATACTGTACTGGCAGCTGCCCCACCTCTAAAGCTAAGTATGACTAGTAAAAGCTGAGGGTTTAACAATTCCTTGTAGGAAATCATGCAAAAGAAACATGAGATCTTCAGGTACACCTGTTTTATTTGGCCAGCATTAGGACAAACTGCTAAGGGCCTCACCTTCACAATCCCATCACAGTGTGCCGAGGCAATCGCTGTGGAAACCTTCACCAGCTTTGCAGCTGACAAGTGGATCTTGAAGTGCCTGTGGAAGTGGGCATAAAGGCAGTCCATGAAGACATCCACCTCCTCTTGAGTGATCTCTCCTGGCGTTTTTTGCACCGTGTCCCACAGAGCTTTGGCATCCTCTGGGTGGATGGCGTAGGAAATATCCAGGGGTTGCGCCAGGCAGGGCACGGAGAAGATGAGTTCCACGGCAGAGGCAGCTCTGTCCAGCTTGCAGCCAGCCCACATGGCCACCATCCAGCTGAGGTTCAGGGGGCTGATGGCCAGGCGGCGGAAGCAGCAGTCAAAAGTCTTCTGGAACCAGCTGCCAACCAGGGACGTGTAGCTCTCGGGCCCGTGGGTCAGGAACAGGGGCAGGCAGGTGAAGTGCTCCGGCACGTTCTCGGAAAGGTCATCTCCAAACACGGAGCAGAACCAGCCCGACCACACCAGTTTGTCTTCAGAGTTCTTGGAGGATTTTTTTTTTTTTTTTTTTTTTTTTTATGGGGAGTTTTTTTTTTTTTTTTTTTTTTTTTTGGTATGGCTTTTTTTTTTTTTTTTTTTTTTTTTT